AGTAATGACTTTCTACCTCTTGCTTTTTAAAAAATGTAGTAAAGTACAGATAACTATGTAAAAATATTAGAAGTAGAAGTAAAATGTAGGAAATAAAGTGCAGATACACAAAAAATTATACTTAAGTACAGTAACAAAGTGTTTGTACTTAGTTACTTCACAAGTCTGGGTAAAACAAGCAGTTTTTGCCGATACTTMAAACTTACTTAAAAACAAGTGTGACAGCTGGAAAACTCTCCATTGGATAATGCTCATCCTCAAGCTCATGACCACGTCCCCACTTCTTGGGATGGGACCGACCCAAACCTAGAGTTTTCTCTGTGGATCATGGTAGCAGTGAACTTCCTTACCTGTGTACAGAAGTAAAAATTAAACATATTTTCTTACTCCATATAAAACAGGAGAAAAATATTTCACACAAACTATTCCCAAAAAAATTGATGTGACGTCTCCTCTTTTTTATTTATTTTTTTTATTTTTTTTGTCCAGTCATGACTCTGCCTGGACTTTTAATTTCCTTTTTTTAAAATTAGGATTCTGTTTTGTTTTTTGAGTTCTAGGCTCAATCCCCCAGCTGATTGTGAAACTAAAACTGATATTCTGGAGCCAACCAAATTCAAGATGGCTGCYGCAGCTAATTGACATTAACTAACACAAAAACCAGCTTTACATCTGTCCATTTTACATATATTGATCTAAAACTGAATGTGGTGTAGCTGAGAGCATCATCCTCAACACATACTGAGTGTTTGACCAGTCTGTTTTTTTCTCATCACTCGAACATTACCCCAAAACTCTGGCATWAAAAGTGGCAGCTGGTATGCTTTCTGGGACAGAACTCTAACCCATTAATTATATTATAATTTCTAAAGTTAAATTTACTTAGCAATGCTCTTTCTTTTTGACTTTTTCTGTAAATCTGAAACAAATAACAGCTGTAAGGATTCTACAACAGCTCCCTTTTCAACATTGTTTGTGTATGAACCCATTTGACTCAAGTTAAACCATATTTTATAAATAGAATATGAAGTTTATTCCTTCAGGTGATGTGCAGYGCATGCAGCTCCCCTTGTTTCTGCATCTTTAGGTTTGATGAACAACTTGAAGTCGCTGCAGTCCAGATATTTGGATTTGAGGAACACAGAGATTTCGTCAACGTGAGCTTTTAAAATAGATGCAAAACAAAAGGTACAACTACCTAAGACTGTCCTTAGGTGCCTTTCTAAATAAAAAGCTGCCTTGCTCGCTGTGGAGCTTCCCTGCTAGTGATGAATACCTTGCGCAGCTTCAAGTTAACCAAGTTCATATTGAAACACTCCTCGAAGCGTTGCCATCAATCAATGCCTCTCCCAGTCGCTGTCAAGTGATCTTGCCTGTCTTCTCTCGCTGCTCTCTCTCTTTCTGTGTGTGTGTGTTTGTGTGTATGTGTGTGTGCCACAACAATATCCGGCCTAGCTCATTTGCTTCCATTACGAAGGCGGCACAGGCTCACTCTTATTTCCCTCCTGACGCCTCGGGGCCACCGGATTCAACATGCTCTGCACTCTCCAGCCTCCCTTTAACCACTTGCTTATTCGTCACAGACGCGCTGGGCTGAAAGACAGCAAATTTTGTAAAGGCAAGTAGCCCAGATCGACAAACAGACAGGAGTGTATGCCCCACATAGTGTGTGTGTTAGTGTGTGCGGGTTTGTGTGTTAGTGGCCACATTTTGGCTGAAGCAAAGAGAGTGAATTAGAAGGTTTAAAGAAAGGGGAGGGATGTATTTNTTATATATTTATACTTCTCATTCAACCACAGTTAAATTCACTCTATCTACGAGGCACAATTTATATGGATAGTATATTTTTTTACAACAAGCTGGAATGAAAACAAGTAAAAATGAAATAAAAGTAACGACTTTCTACTTCTTGCCTTTTTTAAATGTAAGGTAGTAGAATGTACCGATAATTGTGTGAAAATGTAAGAAGTAAAAGTAAAAAGTAGGCTGAAAAATAATTACTCAAGTAAAGCACAGATACCCAAAAATTCTACTTGACGGTAAAGAAGTATTTGTACTTAGTTACTTTACAGCTCTGCTGCCCATGTTGTAGAGGTTAGAGTCTGACTGATTAATTGAGTCTGTGGACAGGAGTCTTTTATACAGGTGACACTTTAAAAC